CATATTCGAGCCAGCCCATGTTCGTGCTGCAGAAACTTGACTACAGCTAGGCTCTACCACCTCTAAAAATAATATATAGTATATATTATAAAAACAGCAAAACTAAGCTTACCAAAGATATATTATACATACATATATCAACAAAATATTAATCTATATATAAAGCAACAAAACATATTGTCATTAACTTCCTATCTATAAAACACAATAATATTTATTGAATGTATGTTTATAAGATCAAGGTCTCCAAACGTTATCACACAGAGTAAGATACAAGAAAATTAAGAGTAGTGTGTATTTTATTAAGCTGATAATGTGTTTGAAATTCCCTTCAGCTGGGAAGGTCATTGTCAGATAAGAAAGATCTTGTAAAATGAGTATAAAATCGTCTGTTTCTACTCTTTTTTTTTATGATGCAGGGAAACTCTTTTTACGAACTGTTCAACCGGCCTTGGTGGAGCTGGAAGGGATGTGTGAGACTCGACCTGGGCAGGCCCCTACTCACTAAAACCCCTGCGAAAGTCATCGGCCGCTATGTTGGTGTACCCCGGATCTGTCAGCGACAGGGCACACCAGCGACTGGCCGGTCCTGGCAAAAATCGTCTGATCCTAAATTGTTGTAACTATAACTTTACCATCAAGAAAAGTGTGGAGTGTTGTATCAATACAGTATCAGAAATATGTATGTATTTTTTAAGACCTTTGACATGAGATCGGTTTACTTTGATAAAAGGTTGTAAGTCATAGTGATTGAAATGTACTTACAATAATTCTCATTTATTCTACTACTTATTTAATATCATGAGAAGTTTTTAAAGATTTTATTATATAAAAATAATGAGATCTTAGACTTACGCAAGTTTTATTCATTTAAATGGAACTACTATATTAGGATATACTACTACTATATTTCAGTTTCATTTAAATATGTATAATTCATTTAAAAATGTTATACATTACGTAAGTACATATGTATGTGTATTTGTGAACTACTGAACTGGTTTCTATAAATTTTGACGATGTTTATTTTATGTGACATAATAAGTTCTACTTTAACATTTGTGGTAGTCTCTTTAAGCTATGGGATGTTATTATATCTCTGCGCTAATAAAATTTAAAGAATAAATATTATTTCATCGATTATTTAATAATCTGCTACAACCCTAGCCCCTATTAATATTTCCTACTTTGTTGCACTCTCCAGGCGTCAGTGTTACTTTAAACAATGCCTTTTATTAACGAAGATTGTCGTCAACCGTTGCTTTCTTCAAAAAAATGTACGTTACTTAAATTCTCTTACTATTTTTCGTTCTATTTTCTTAGTATTTCACACTCTTTTACTATTTTACTTACTATTTCTGTGTTACTGAAGATATTACTATATTTTTTCTCGTGTAAGCCACGTAGGAACGGCGTCATGTGTCGGCATCAATCAGCAACAGCTGAAAAATCAGTTAATCAGTTATTCTTTATCGTTTTGGTTAATTTTTGCTTAATACTAAACTATTCATAACTAAATTTAAACCCTGATTCCTTTAAGATGTCTGTCTTTAAGATTCTGTTTGGAATACATGTATGTAATGCAAAATGTGGAAGAATCTTATTCTAGGAACAGCGATCACGTTAATAATAAGTAAAATTCGGAGAAAAACATATTTTGATTCTTACCGTTAGCATGTAAAAATTCTCAGTATTAATATTAATTGTTTATTAATTATTGTTAAATTTTTAAATTCTATGAATACGTTTAAAATCTTAAAATTGATTTATCTAGTTGAAATTTAAAGTAAATTCTAACAGTTTGTTTTTATTACGAACTCCATTCCTATTTAAAGAAAGTAGATAAGAAGATTTAAGGATTGATCAATTTTTTTTCTTTTTCCATCGGATAACAAGTATCCTATGTCCTTTTCCTGGTTCTACCAATTTTTAGGGAAACCTGTACAGCCGTTCGTAAGTTGAATAGTGTAACTAACACGACTTTCTTTTATATAGAAAAGATTAAATAGCATAGTGACATAAGATAACGTACTTAATTTAATTTTATCTATAACTCTTAATTTGATGTAAATCATACTTTGATTTAAATTGTACAGAACATATAAATAAAATAGAATTATAAATTCCTATTGAGTGTTGACTCAAGAAGAGTTGCTTCTGATAATAACAAAATTAGAGCAATTTTACCAGAACATGAAATTATATAATATTAATGAAAGGCGTAAAATATTTATTACTATTAAGAATTAAATTGAATTACCTATTTTCTGCACATCTTAAATTATACTATTAAAAACATTTACTTTTTAATTAACAATCAATTAAAATAGAAATATCGAAATGAAAAGACCTGCTTTTATTTCACTACAGTAAATATTATAAACAATTACTTTTCTTAAATTAAAAACAGTAAAAACTTCTTTACTTTGAGAATAATTATAAGTTTTGTTTTTAGGGAAAGTATTTTTATTCTTAAAAATACTATAGTATGTATGTAAGTATGGCGCATTACTTCAATCTATTGTCCGTTACGCTCAACTGAAAATTTAATAGCGACATCTATTTAAAATATTTGGAACTACACTGTTATTATACAATTGAAATAAAAATGTGATTCAGTAAGACGATGTTGTTAGTTAATTGTGACCAATTTATTTTTCAAGTGTTATATGTAATAAAATTTAAAGTGTAATGATTATAATATTATTAATATTATTATTCACTATTTCTGTTTATTTGATTTGTTTTTAAGTTTTTAAATTACAACATACGTTATTTTTCCAGATTACTAGAATTTAAACGAATTATAAAGATATTTTAAATAAATTATTTGTATCTTATTCAGATCTTATTTATGGAGTCTTTATTTCACTGTGATAGACTGGTGTTTAAAGTAGGCGATCTCAAAAAATTATCAATATTTTTCATTTATTTTATAAATATTAAAGAAAATATTGATAACATATATATATTAATAATAATCAGTTTGTTCTCGGTTTACATTTAAGTTTCACGGATTAAAATTCAATTACTTTTTTATTATAATCTCAGTAATCGATAAAACTAAATCGAAATAAAGTGTGTAAGTTGTTTTTGTATCGTGGCGACAAATATTAGTAATGATCTTAATTTTTGTGGACAAAGACAGACATTTCTTTGATGTCACTTATGTCTTATTACGTATACATATTTATTAATTAATTAGATGGTCGACTGTTAAATCTCGTTACGTTAAAGTAAGTAAAAGAATTTTCGTTTTTTTTTAACTTTATGGCTGTAACTGTTGGCTTCAACCCAAAAGAAGTTCATATTTTCCTTAAAAGAGTCATCATTCTACAACCAACTCAGACAAACCTGGATTTAAATACGCATCGTAATCGAACCTTGCGAAGAAATAGTTGTAGTTTTTCTGAAATAAATCTAGTTTTCATAATGTTTCTATCTCTCGTCATGATCTAGATTTAAATGTTAAGAAGATATTCAAAAAAATATCAGAAGAGAAAATTGTCACTTCCTACAATAAGAGAAAGTTCAGATACAAATTCCTAATATTCGTTTTATACGCTGGAGGGTGATAAAGGGAAAAATATTCTGACCATACAGTACTAACTAACTAAGATAAGACGACGTCCAGATGTTTATATTTAAAAAGCGAAAGTACCTAACCATCGGTTCACCTAATATTGTTATTAAAATTCTGTGTAAATAGAAAAAAAATATAAATACAAAAAAATACATTTTTTTATTGTAAATTGTAATCTTCACTAGACGATTTTTAAAGCAATTGCGTTCTAAGTGACTAAGATTCAGATACTGTGACGTTTGGTTTCAAACAATTGATCAAACATTATAATTTTGCCAAATTTTGAATATGTTTAAACTACTTTTTATATCTTTGAATTGAAACTACAAACAGTTTACAAAAATTCTTGTATTATATATCTAATATATATAACCTTTGGCATCTAGAGTAATAACTTTAAAAATTATTTCTTTGAAAATTTTAAACAAGTTTACTGTAGAAGTAAAGCCAAAAATAAACATTAGAAATTAACGTGTCACGTAGTTTTTTGTTAACCGAGTCTTAGATAGATCTAACACTTGTGATAAAAACCTAATCTTTAATGATAACAGTTTATTTTAACTTGGTCTATTCATACACATTTTGAACTTCATCTCATGTGTTAGGAATTTTATATAATTTAATTTTACAGAAATTATTTATTATTTATATGTAAAAAATATCATAAATAAGTGTATCTTGAGTGCATTGTTCATATAATATATAAATTGTATTTAAATTTGGATAACATATCAATATAAAGTGTGAATTATTAATTGGAATTTAATTTTTAAGGAGGGGAAAGATATTTTTTATTATTAAATAATTCTGTAGTTATTTCTTGTAGCTTCATTGCTGTTTTCTTTTTATTCTGACAACGTTCTTCTTCCACAAATTTAATGATCAATAGAAATGAATAAAATGTGTGTATTTTAAATAAACTACAATTATGCATTAATATCATCAGTCATTAACCGATAATTTTAACTACCTGTGAGCTAGTTCGTCGTGCTAATTAAAATTTTATTTTATTTGTATTACGACATCAGTTCCACAGAATTTGTGATTTGTAACGGTTAAGGTAAATATTACTTTTGTTACTAAAAAACATGTGAATAAATAGTTTTATATAAATTTTTAATTTTATGTAAAATTATTATAAAAGTGGAGTTAATTATATATGGAAGGAAAAATATGTAAAATATTTTAGTTAAAAATTAATCAAATTAATTTATTTTATGTATATTTTTCGTTTTGATGTTTCGCTCATGAATAAACATTTTTTTTTCTTTTATAATATGGCCTTCATCAATGCAGAAAAGTGTGAATAAACATTGTGATAGTCGTTACATATACATTTTTCAGATACCCACATTTTATTAATATTACCTCATCCAAGCATATTGTAGTCTTTAAAATTCAATTTCGTTTCACAGGCATGAAGAAAATACGGTTCTTTTGTGAAGGAAGCCAGTTTAATCAAATACTATGTGCATTTTTGAGTGAGTGGTGTTATAGCAAATTAATTTTTAAATTTGATATTATAATTAAATTTGAGTGATGTTTTCAGTTTCTGTACCAATGTTCTGTTATGGAAACTCTATTGGCTGGATGTCGCCTATGACCCTTCTACTGCAATCAGATAAATCACCCAAAGGTGTGCCTTTGACAGATCTTGAGGTTCGTAATATTTATTTGATCATTATATACAACAAATTCCCAAATTAATTTAAAACCAAATTTTGCCATATCTCCTCTTAAAAACATATCAAAGTATTTTTATATGCATTTTTTTATAAAAAGATAACTCGTGGTCAGTATTTAACTGGACTTTATATACGACAAAATCTCAAATTAGTATTTCAACCGAATTTGTTAATAATGCCATGTCTCCCCTTAATTAGATCTAAAAGAATTTATATACATTTTTTTTAATGAGGTAGTTGTTTTGAAGAAAACTCGAAAAGAGTTCAGAATATTCATCAAGTATATGATTATATGAATGGTAGTTATCATATAGTCAATAGGTAAATTTTATTTTAAAATCAATAAAAATATAATGTATTGCCCTGACTGCTATTATTTTTGAAATTGTATAGAACATTAATAATATTAAATAACTAATTCAATTCGCACTTATTGACTAGATAACATCTTTTAGTTTCTAAACTAATAATAACAGTAGAGAGTAAAAGTATATATTTTGTTTCGTTATCATAAACTTACTGTTACCACCTTGAAACTAAGAAATATTTATCTACGATTACAATGGAATTGATCGTCTATCAACAGTCAAACGGAAAATTTTCAATGAAATATTGTGTCCTATGATAAATCATTGTTTTAGAGCCACTTATTTAATTTGATATATTGTCATGTGTTCCATAAATATCTTATTTGATTTTTAAATGCAGTTTTTATCCCAACTTTGAAGATAAAAAAGTAACTAAAAAGTAAAGTAACACACGTAAAGACAAACACGTAAATGAAAATGTTCTCAAGAATTTCTGTTTAAGGAACGCCATAAAATTGTTCATATATTGTAAGATCTAAAACCATGATCGTTTATTTAGATTGTAATACTTATTGATTTTTCTTTTCTCCAGATTTCTTGGATGGCATCATTACCTTACTTAGTATGCGTCCCTGGGACATATTTAATGGCAGCAATTGGAGACCGCTACGGAAGAAAATTAGCTCTTCTCATAATGTCTGGAATATCAGTAGTAAGTAATCAAATTAAACAACTATTTTTCGTATTAATTCCTTGTTTGCCAATGAATCTTCGTTTTGTTCAAGGCTATATGGGTTTTGAAGTTAAGTTCTATGAATATATGGGTTTTCATCACAGCGAGGATCTTAGCTGGCGTTATAATGGCTGGTAGCTGCGTGACCTGTCCCACCTACATTAAAGAGATCAGCGAAGATAACATCAGAGGTGCCCTTGGATGCTGGGTAAGGAATAGTCTACTTTATGATAAAATCATATTAACAAAATGATATTTTTTTGTTAGTTCAACCGATCAGACAGCCTACCCGATGGAGGTAGTACCGTTGCCCATGGAAATCCGCAACATAGTTTTGCTGATGTGCTGTCACAATTGAATAGGGAAGAGGGATAGAAAAAAGTAGGAAAGGGAGGGAAAATGGAAAGGCTAATCGGCTCTCTCACTCATCGGACGAAACGCAGCCATTAAAGGCTACTTCACGCAGATCTTCTGTGAGAGGGTGGTACTTTCCCGGTGGAACCAGGTCATGTTCGAGCAACTTGACCACAGCTATTCTTACTAGACACAAATATTTTAATTAATGATTTAATTTTGAAGCATAATTAACATGTACATTTTAAAATGATAACTATATTTATCTGTTTACATTTTAGGGTGCGCTGTTTTTCACAACTGGAAGTTTATTTGCCTACATAATATGTGACGTCTGCAGTTACAATGTGACGTTAATAATATTTACAATCATACCCGCCGTTCATTTTGTGATATTCCTGACGATGCCAGAATCGCCTTCGTATCTTATAAAGAGGGGAAGAGACGAAGTTAGTTGATAATAATAAGTTAAATATATGTAATATTTTTACGTAATTATTTAATACTTTGGTCATATCAAACAGAGATTCCTTTAGTTGTCTAATTAGTTTTAACTACAGTACATAAGCTCAAATTTTTTTTAGTATCTATATAATAGTTTTGTTATCTAGGTTAAATCTGGTTTTAACCTGTTTGTAACTTTTAATCCTAAATGTTAATGTGTAAAAAATATTATTAAATTAATTTTAATATAATTTTGAAGGAAGCATCAAAATGTTTGGAATGGTTGAGATGCAGAAGTGCATTTGATCCAACAATTAAAAGTGAAATTGATTACGTGAAAAAAGAACAAAAGAACGATGAGGGTCGAGAACAATTTTTATTAAGAAACATTCGTAAGTTTTTTGGTAACACTATTTTTTATTCGATTATTATATATGCCTTAAAACAAGCCCAAACCATCAAATACATTATAAACACACGAGGCAAAAAGTTTAGGATCTAAAAATTAATCCCACATATTAAACATTCACATAAAATAAGCAAATTTTTTTATTACAGTTTCAGACAAGATTCTCCGAAGAGCATTTCAAATATCCTTAGTAGCTGCTTTATCAAGAGAGCTTTGTGGAGCTGTTCCAGTTTTGAATTTCGCTGCGGATATCTTTCATTTAGCCTCCGAAGAAACTGGGCTGAAACTCAGCGCCAACCAACAGGCTATGGTACTTGGTACGGTCCAGTTGTGTGGAGCTACTTTAGCTTCTGGTATCGTCGAGAGATGTGGCCGTCGAGTAAGTTATTAATAGCAAAACTAGTATTAATGGCATTTATTCGTATACATATTTAGACAGAAAAGTATGTCCTTTCTTCAGGTTAATAGAGAATTGCTAGTTATTTCAGTAAAATTAAAAATAATAGGATCCAAACTTCACATATATATTTTTTTCAATTAAAGTATTTATATCGACATTGTATTAATCATATAATCTTTCAGCCTCTCCTCTTCGTTAGTTCAGCGATATCTGGTCTAAGCATGTGTCTATTAGCTACCTGGTTCCTGTTACAATACCTCCACCCTCCAGCGTGGATACCTGTGATAACTCTGTGCTTGTGCATATTCTGTGATGCTGCTGGGCTGATGCCTATAGCTGTTGTTATAGCCAGTGAGACCTTCTCTTTTAAGGTAAAATTTTTATTGTATAACACGTATCTGTAGGTGCGTTATTTTATATAAGTTTTAAGAAGATTCATCGTATTATATCCCTTGCAGTATCGAGGCACTGTATTAGCAACAACCATGGCAATAGCGTCAGTAGCAGATTTTATACAGCTTCTATTCTTCAAGCCATTAGTAAGAGCGATCGGGATACATGTGTCATTCTACTTTTTTGGCATGATGTGTCTACTGACGGCAGTCTACGTTATAATAATGGTACCAGAAACTAGGAACAGAAAATTAGAAGAGATCTATTACGACTTGAAGACTAAGAAAGAGAAAAAAGAATTGGAGAATAGAAATACAATTTAAACTGAATTTATTTATTTTTAATTCTTCAGTATTTAATTGATATGAATGACAACGCTTATTTAGAATATTAATTATATTTTTACTTTATAAAATTTAATTAATTAATTTTAATTTCATCTGACATAATTGTAATAGAAAAATGGTTACCCTTTTTGATTGCGTAATTGCTTTTAAATTTGATCTTAATCAACCTTTTTCTGTAGGTTTATAAATATAAATGTTTTGTCTTTTAAGTACGTTTTATTAATTTCTAATGTTAAATTAAGCCTCTGACTAGGGTAGATGACAACATTTCATATTTAAATTGGTTCAGTATTGCCATCGTGAAAGCAAGACAGAGTTACTTACGCATATCGTCAAAATTATAGTAATCAATAATGGTTATTATTAATTTTAAGTATTTCTATGTATTATATGTTATTTTGCTTTGAATTTATCACGAGTATATGCAGTATATATTGAATATTATATTATATACTTTTTATTTATTTTGTTTGTATCATTATTTTTAAATAAATATTTCTTTATTTTTTTCCACCTTTTGAATTACTCTGTTTCAGAATATTCGGTGGTTTTTACTTGGTAGTGATCTTACTAAAAAATAATATCATACATTTTCAAAGTCATTATATTTAATTTAATTTTATATCTTGCTTTTCACAAATAAATAATTAGAAAAGGTATATCTTAGGTTTATCACCTCTAAGCCGTATATACATAGAATTGGGTAATTTTCACACTCAGTTTTATGACTCGTACACAACTTGATCCGAAATTGGTTTCTAATGACTCTGGTGACCAGGAATCTCTTATACCCTACCTCTCAGAAGATTACAATACTACTATATAACGCGTAAATCTGAACCCATATTGAATACTTACTCCATCAAAATCGAGCTATGAGGTTTGTCGATAATCCCGTGGTTATAAATGATATGGAACCATTAAATTTAAGTAGGGACCTTGCCTATATGTACGTATTCTACCTTCAGCCTATATACAGACTGGTAGCTTATTCACCTATATATTTAAGTACTAGTTATGTATTATGTAGGCTTGATATCCAAGCCTTTGTAGATAAGAATTTGGTTCAAAGAAGAATAAATTATGTAAACTTAAATTGTATAAGTAGATGTACTGCCTGCCAACTTTAAAGTGTGGCTACAAGTGACTATATAAAATACAACTTTCATAACTATTTTCTGAAGGAACTACACATTTTTTGGGTCAATTATAATCTATATGTAACTCTGAGCTGATGTCTAAACTACAACATCAGGAAGTTACATCAAAATAAGTACCTTGAAATAACAAATATGTATCAATTTTCATAATATTTTTGCATTAATTGTAGTAGTAAGTAGTAAGACCATATAAATGAACTTTCTGATAGTAAATTATTACCTTAAGTATATAAATTACTAGTGTTGAATATAAAACAAATTAATTGACAGCAATGTTACAGGCATTGATAACAATTGAAAATGAATAATGATATAAATTATGGTATTAAAAAGGCATGTTGAAGAAATATTTAAAAGATAAGAACAGTACATATACAGATACATATTATATTGATAAATTTTCATAATTTTACATGATTACCAGACTTTAATTAACATACATGATACGTAAGTATATTACATAATTACGAGTACTTTTGAATCGAAGATATAATGTTTTGTGGAGATTATAAGATTGACCTAAGATTATTTTTTAACGATGAAATTTACTTGACGCTGTGTTTGGATGCTTATTAATTTAATATTTAATAATTAAAATATTACTATTTTAGTCCCAGTACTTTTTAAGTCGTAGCTTTCTGCGTACATTTAATTTCAATAGTCTTGCAGATTAATCTCGGTATGTACCTGTTTTCGCGAGCGGATATCTGTGGTTTGTCCATTGTATGTTCAAACACTGCTGATTTAGACACACGCCAATCTTTAAGATCATTAGACATTAATTACAATTATTATTTCTTTGCAACAAGCAGTTGAATACAAACTTGATCGTAACTGTGATTTGTCATACATTGAACAAATGGATAGGAAAATGGAACTAGGGTCAAAAAACATATCTCATATATTAAAAATAGGCGCGTGACGAAGTTAGCACTGTGTGAACACACTCTGGACACACCAAGTTTTTACTCGCTTCTCATAAAGACAGCCTGGCCTTCTAACACCTGGAATTCCCTATCCCTATATTTTCCTATCTAACACCTGGAATTCCCTCAGTGAAAATTTAAAACCCCTTGTACTTACCTACAATACAAGACTTTTAAGACATTTAGAAACTTTCATCTCGTCTGCCCATGATCACGGGTGGTGAAGTGCTAGGATATACCACTTTAAAAAGTAGGTAGAACAAAACAATATATATCGAATTATAAAAAAGGTTTGTTACATAAATATCAAATATATTTTTTTCTACATTCGTTTCATGCTAGTTCTACTAATCGGTTCGGTTCACATTTGCAATTATTTAAGGAAAATTAACAATTTGTGACCACATTACTTCAGTATACTTGAATAAGTATACGAATTAATGAAAGTATATACATTTTTCTTATAAGATTAATTTCTCCCACATGGTGTACTCAAAGTCTTAGTAATGAAGTTTCTAACATCGATTCCCGAGGGAAGTCAGTTCAATCAAATATTATGCGCGTTTTTAAGTAAGTATATTTTTTTGAGTTTATAACATCAAGAATCATAGAAATATTATTAATTTAATTATTGTTGTCAGTTTCGCTGTCGACATTTTTTTACGGGAACGCTATAGGTTGGATGTCACCCATGACGCTTCTTTTACAGTCGGATAAATCTCCTAAAGGCGTACCATTGACTGATCTCGAAGTAAGCATTACTACTGTATAAACTTTTATCGATTTTTAAAAACAGTTTTATCATTAATGTACTTAATTTTTAACCCACGTTTAGATTTCATGGATGGCATCATTACCATACATAGTAAGCGTACCCAGTACATACATAATGGCTGAAATTGGTGATCGATATGGAAGAAAACTGGCACTTCTATTAGCAACCGGCAGTGCTGCTGTAAGTAACGATTTTAATATAAATATATCTAAGCGCACGGTAGTGCGCCGGCCAAGTTCCAGCAACAGGCCGCGCGCATGCCGTGCACAATTTACACGAACCGTTTCGACCCACTTTTGACCCCCCTGTAGCTCATTGCCTATTGCAAGTACAGAGATAAAATTGTACCTACATAATTATATACTAGTACTTAAGCAGTATGCCAAATTTCATAGATAAAGCTTCAGTAGATCCTGAAATATGACCCTGTGAAAATAGCTAATTTTGGCACTGACTCACTGACAGGTAATCAAAGCCTTTAGGCGACTTCCCATTGTTTTAGCATTATGAAATTTAGTACACAGGTTGTGTGTTATATGTAGATTAACAAAAAATTAAGAAATTAAGGAGAAGAATATGAAGATAAAAATAATGCAAGAATATCGGGACGATAAAATATTGGGACGGCAAAATATTCAGGCCACACGAAAAAATATCCGGACGACAAAAAGTTTTTCTAAAACTCATAACTATAGAATAATACCTGATTATGATCGATTTCAAAGCGCATCTAAACTTGGCATTAGATTGGATTTCAACCCTTTTTTAGGCAAACAATTAGCCGATTGGAACTTGGCCCCCTTTTTAACAGGCATGTTTTGGTGAGATATAATATATCTACTGACTTTTTGTTATATTTTTTAGGCCACATGGCTTCTTAAGCTGTGCTCGATGAGTATCTGGGCATTTATAGCAGCGAGGATTTTGGTTGGCATTACCATGTCCGGATCTTGTGTCATCTGTCCCACTTACATCAAAGAAATCTGTGACAGCAATATACGGGGTGCTCTGGGATGCTGGGTGAGGAAAAGTTTAGACGTGAACATCACCATGTATAAGATAAAACTTGTTCTTTTATATGTAGATAACACAGTTTTTGACAGTCATATTTCAAATTTCAGGCCAGTATCAGTTTTGCTGCAGGCGCTCTGTTTGCGTATATAATTGGTGACGCATTCAGCTACTGGGTTATTTTAATTATTTTAATGGTCCTACCTATTGTACATTTCATTATAGTCTTAATGATGCCTGAATCACCTTCGTATTTGATAAAAATAGGAAGACTTGAGGTACGATGATCTATATCCACTTTATATGTATTAGAAAATGTGTGTTTTAATGTTTGAATTCCATTTTTATATAAAATAAAAATAATTTGAAGATATTTTTTATATTTAAAATTAATAAACGTGAAAATTTCTTAGATAAATAATGAAATTACACGAATAAGGGTTATCCAAATTTATAAAATATTATTTTTACTATAAATTTAAGGATGCATCAAAATCTCTGATATGGCTCCGGTGTAAAAGTAAATACGATTCAACTATTAAAGAGGAAATAGACTACATCAAAGAAGAACATGAAAAGGATGAAGGGCAGGGACCATTTTTAGTGATGAAAATTTGTAAGTTTTATTTTATATCAAAGTCAGTCAGTCAGTTAGGGAAATAGTTACCATCGCCCATCGTCATCTGCAACATTAGAGATGCTGCAGATGTGCTTTGTACATATTTACCTATAATCTGAAGGTTTATTTTACCCTGTATTCTTTAATTCCTTAGTATTAATATAAAAATATATTAATATCATTATTTCCTGACATATCACCAGAAAAAATTAAGTCACAACCCTTGATATTGAATGCAAATAACAGAAAAGGAAGGTATAGCGTCTAAGTAACCAATGATATAATTAGTTCAAAGGATAAAATACAATATTATAGTGTATCCTCCTCTACCTGGCAATTTCCCAGCCTTAACCAGGGTCTGCCTTATATGTTGTGAATTGTTTTGGCTAATTGTTTTTACGACCGGCCGCCTGCCTGACATCAACCTTCCTTGGGAATGCATTAATCAGTGATGTCTAAATACTCTTAGAAAGTACATATGTATGACTCGGAAAAATCACATTGGTTCTTGCCAGGATCGAACCCGCGCCCTCACGCATGAGAGGCGGGCCTTTTAACTACTAGGCCACCACTGACTAACAATATTAAAGTGTATATTATAAATAATATTTAATTTCTTACAGTGAGTAATAATATTCTTCGCAGAGCGTTCTATATATCCCTAGTAATAACATTATCTAGAGAGCTATGCGGATTAGTTCAGATTACGACATTCGCTGGGGACATATTCCAACTGACAGTTGCTCAGTCAATAATTAAACTGAGTCCTAATCAAAAAGCAATCGTGACTGGATTTGTTCAACTTTGCGGCGTTACTTTAGCTTCGGTACTGATTGAGAGATGTGGTCGGAAGGTGAGTTGTTTTTAAGATTCAAATGAAATTTTATTGATACAGGCAAAATTCGTACTTACAACCTGAGAAATAAAGCATTCCAGTTACTTTACTACTAAGCTATCATATCTTAATGATAATATCGGAACTTGTACATTTTGCATGTAGGTTTCTATTCTATAAGAACTACATTGCTAAATAAATACAGACGAATTGAGAACCTCCTTTTTTGAAGTTGGTCAAAAAAGTAATCATAGGAAACTTAATAGATTTTAGTTCTTTACCTAAGAAACAATAAATCCATATGTTGCTATATGTTTCTATACCTGGTTTCAGCCGCTGATCTTCATCATGTCCTTCATTTCTGGTTTGAGCATGTGTGTGTTAGCCACCTGGTTTCTTCTACAACACTTCAACCCTCCAGGATATATTCCCGTTATATCTCTGTGCATTTGTATTTTTTGCGATAACTCTGGCACTTTACCACTATCTCTAGTATTGACAGGCGAGATGTTCTCTTTCAAGGTAAGATTCACAATTTTTCGAAGTGAAGTTTATGCCATAGAATAAATGATTATTTTTTTCTAGTATCGAGGCACTGTGCTGGCAACGACGATGTCTGTCGCGTGCATCGTGAATTTCATCCAGCTTTTATTTTTCAAGTCTATAATCAAAGTGATGGGTATTTATTTCGTATTTTATTTCTTTGGAGCTGTATGTTTGTTTACGGCGGTGTATGTTATGATAATGTTACCAGAGACTAGGAATAGGAAATTAGAAGATATTTATTATGACCTAAGTACGAGTAAAGAGAAGATGGAGTTGGGAGATCGAAATACAGGTCAATGGTGACTTGTGTAGTCAATACGTTTAAAGTAATACATATGTATAATTATATTATTTCTAATGTAAGTAATTTTTATAATACTATTTATTATACAAAAAAAGTGCGTGAACTCCGTAATGTAAATAATAACACATTTATTAAGTGATGCTTCGTAATTGTAAACAATTCTTATCTACTACATTTCAAAGTAAATAAATGTTCTACTAAAATTTATGTGTATCAAATGAAACAAAAAATAATGAATATAATAAATAAATTATTATATAACAAGTACGTATTTCAGCTCGTTTCACTAATCACTACGCTCACAATATTTACTTCGCTACATAGCAAGATTATCATGCGCATGTGCTTGGAATCTACCGACTCACTCTCTTTCTCTCTCCCACTTTCTATATTTGTGTATCTTTCTTTCTCTCTCACTCAGCGTAAACATTTAATGCAACCTTGTTGCAAACAGCATAAGAAGTGTCACTTCGTTAAAAATATATGCAATAAACAAGCATATTTAATCAATAGAAAGGTTTTAAATGTATGAAAAGATACTTTAGTAATACCTTAACCAATATCGATAATTGTTATGTTTGCACTATTTACATAAACTGAATTAAGTGGTTGCCTTTTGTAAATGTTCTCAACTCTTTAAAGTAGAATTTTCTTATCGAGGGTACAATTTATCGTTTATTGTTTATAAAACACTAAAAAGTTAACAGCATTTTATACTCGAATACTCCGAATATATTACGGAAAATAACATAATATCATACTTTACTAGACAAACATTCAAAACCGTGTATTGTTATTGGTGTATTTTACACTTTTTGTCGCTTTATGATACTAATTGAATCAGAGTGTTACAATTAAGTTGTGTTCCTCAATCTTTACAGGCTCTGTCTTTGAATTTGGTTAGGAGAGACTCGTAATAATCTAAAGTATAGTTTGTTGTGTTTGTAATCAACTTAGCCTTTATCTAATGATAGAACAGAGACGACAAAATATTTTCTGTTCTTTTGAAAAATAAGTTACTTTATGTATAAATTTCTACGTCAGCTTATTGTTGGGTCCCTGTATGAGAATCCTTACTCCAAAATTATGTGAATATTTTAATATTCCTTATACTAAAAATTCACTTTGATTCACTGCAAATTAAAAAATAATACAAATATTAACTATCTTATAATAATAGTTAATTAAATAATATTAGTGATATTATTTTTGTGCAAATTATTTTTCCTATTTTTTATAATTATAAACGCTACAGTTATTATCTGTTTTAATTAATATTTCATTATAATTTGTAAGTTACATATTAATTTGTAAAATAAATAAAAAATAACACATAATTATAGAATGAAGTTATTATATTATTTGTGACAAACGACTTTGAAATAAAAATATTATATGTATTAATATCATGTTTATTAATTAAATATTATTCTGCCCAGTATGATATAGAAACTAAAGTCCCACATCTCGTACCAATGTCATTTTTTCCGAGTCATATGTACTTTATAAGAGTATTTAGACATCACTGGTAGATGAAGGAAAACATCGTGAGGAAACCTGGAGTTATAACTTCACAATTATAAGTTTGAAATCACCAACCCGGCTTGAGCAAGCGTGGTGATTAATGCTCAAACCTTCTCCATGTGAGAAAGAGGCTTTTGCTCAGCAGTGGGCTTCAATAGGCTGATGATAATGGCAAAGATATATGACATTACGTACTTTACTAGTACATAATGAACATGGATTTTTTAGACAATATTTTAGTCTTCAATTATACATTACTGAACTTGTTTATGCTTTGTTTCACAGTTAATTAATTTACACTGTTTACATTTTTGTTTCGCTGTTTTCTTTAAACCACTCTACACTAATTAAATTCTCGATAAACTACGCTTCAATGCAATTTTTGCATTAAATATTAACCCTAACTACTTTCATTATTAAATACAGTATGCATTGTATTGAAAATTACTGTTCAATCTACGACTGTGAGGAAGATAGACGTATCACTCAGTATTGTATAGACAAGTGATTATTATTAAAATAATAAGAAAAATGAAAAAATACAGAATTTTCAACTTATTCAAGCCTTTTTACATGATCAGTGTAGTATTTTTTACACGAAAATACACTATAATTGACAACAATCTATCTAAAATTTCAATTTTTTATATAATTTATGCACTATTTGGTAATATTACGATTTATCTCCTGTTTTTTCACATTTTCAACTCTTTTTTCAAACTATTAAATAACAATTCCCTATATTTATTTTACGTAATCGTCTATTTCTTATATTCCTTCAATCACACAGTCATTAGTGTTCTCAATATCATCAAGAGTGATGATCATATAAAAGTGATGTTAAATCTTCAAAAAATCCAATCTATTTTAGGAGATTCGACAAATAATAAATTTATATACATATTAATTAGCGTTACTATATTCGGTTTATTTTCAATATATGTACTTTTGATATCTATTAAGTTAATATCAGATAGATTATCGAGTTTGTCACGTGGAATATTAATTTTCTTAACCACCGTTTCTGATGTTGAATTGTTATATGCGGCGTTCATTATATTGCTTCTATCGCGTTATCTTGACCAATGGGCTGGGAGGATGTCTCTTAAAATAGGTACGATATCTTTGAGGAGCATGATCAAAGATGAAACAGATGAACGGGAAATAATGTTTCAGGTCAGTTATTTTTTAACTAACAACTAAGTATACATCTTACCCGTAATAACTTTTCCTTAAAATAACTTATAAAATTTCATTATTAAAGATATAACTAGAGATTTTTTGCAATTTTTCAGCTCCTAGACAAAACATAAGAAGCATTTAATTATTTTGTTATCTTTCACCGTAATAATAATAATAGTAGCATTACATCTACATGTGATCAATGTCTTCATGAACTCTTTGTGTATCAGAACTAGAGAGACCTATACATAAAATGTTTAAATTTATACAAAATAATATATCTAGATTTTATTCTGAATATTGGAACACTTACTTGCTTACTAAAATTACTATCAAATAAAAACTTAAACTTTTTTTTTTGTTTGAAGTTTCATTGAAATATTTCGTCCAGATATCTTAATATACATTATTAATTGTTACTATCTTCGAAATATTGGGTTAAACTAAAATGTTCTACTACTTTTCAGGTGTTCAGAACTATTATCGACACAGCTAATAATTTGGAAGCAGCTATGAACATAACAGTTCAGTTTAAAATATTCCAATAATAATTAAATTTTATTTATTGAAATTCATATTGTTTAAATGTTTAATAACTTTCTTAACAGATTTTAAGTCATTTTGTTCTGCAACTTATTCAATCACTATCATATATACGAATATTGATACTATGGATGCATAGCAACAGAAAAGAGGTAAATGAACGTAATTTATATGAATGTATACTCAAATTCATTTAACAACAGTTAGTTGAATGTAACAACACTTTTATTTAAGGAATCTGTTGAAATACTGAGTCACTTAGCCGGAGTGTTGATTTGGATAACAAAAGGTTTTTTAATCGAAATAATACTCTGTGTTTGTTGTGAAATATATTATCGTAAAATTTTATTTGCGAGAACTGTTGTATTATTTTACAAGGGTCATTCATTTACATGTAAGAATCACTATATATTTCTTATTTTAATGTATTAAATAAGCATCTGTAAGTATTTTAAAATATATTTCTGTTTTAGATAACGACGGAAAATTCACGAAAAGAATTCTAAGTGTTATATGTACCCGTTATAGACGAATGGATTGCTTTGGATTGTTCACACTCGAAGTGGCACTGTTGTTGAAATTACTAGCTCTGTTGGCACATTACACTGTTGTGTTGTTACAGTTTGTGTTTTAAATTCTATTAAAGACAAGACAACCAAAAGAAACAAACATAAAACTATACTAATATGTCTGTCTCCAAAATATTAAATACGTCAGAATAACTTTGGTCATGGTTTAGAGTGAAATAAATTCAACATTGGTTTAGTCCCAAAAATTTTACTTTTTATATTTTAATGCCCATTTTTTTATAAATTTCAATACTTTATTTGTATCCTTTTTTAACAATGATTATATGGAACAAGATCCTATAAGAGCAATAAAATTACTAATGATAAGAAAACAAAAAACAGTTCTAAATGCTAAGTTTATGTGAAATAAAATTGTGAGTCAGAAATTATGCCTTTCTCTATAAATATTCCTGTCTTTATTTACGTTTTCATATTTGCATTGCTGCATACTCTACCAATGAAGCGCGAGGACGAGAGTGGTCATATGGGGCTCCCGCCAAGTCTGAAGAACAATTCCATATGCCTACCAATTTACCTACTGAAGCAACAAACTCTTACCATTTTACCCTCCTCCTCCTCCCCCTTCCATCACAAGGTCAGGGCTAAATGAGCCAAAGCCTTGATTCTCGATATCAACTAGCTTATATTAGCCTAGGCCTTCGCCCGGTGTCGGCACTCCCAAGCGAGGATTTTCTCTGCAGGAGTGTGGTTTCGATAAAGCTGTCCGCGCAATACCCCCTGACTACCCAAACCGCTATATTCCTCTGCTTGTTGTGTAAGAGAGCCTTGAAGCTAGTAGTAAGGACTCCTTAGCATATAGGAAAATGTTACAGGTAACAGGGCCATACCCTTCGTAATATTGGCATAGACTCCACAACCATGTGACACCGACATGGAACCAAAAGTTAGCACGGGCCAGCTAAGCCATCTTGGCTGCACCCATCAAGTCTAGACCCTGGATGATGGACGCCCCACGAGTTAGATTACATTGAGGACTGTGAAATACGAGCGAATCCAGCTTTGTAACAGAGATCAGTCTGACGCAGCCCCAACAGCTTTATGTGGTCTGATAACAATCCTATCATCACCATTCTACCCAGGTTCGTAATTTGTGCATTTTATTAAAATTATTTGAGACAGACCCTTATTATGTAATATCTTAGAAAAATGAATTCATTGATACTTTGAAGATAAGCAAAATATTAGAAAGTGATTGACCAGGTTCTAACATGTTTTCAACTTTAATGTAGTTAACGAAATTTTTAATAAAAAATAGAATTAATATAACCACAAATGTATTCTTAACTCTTCAAATAACATTAGGTAGTTGAAATGTTATTTTAAATATATTTATCTGTAAAATTAATTAACTAAGTTACTTTATCGTACAGTCACCTTCTGAGAATAGAACATAAAAATATATTATTTGTTCAGACTAGACATTTCCACTTTATTTAATAACTAGTTACGATGAGTTTTCTTTGATTAAAAAAACTGTGTGAATTCATTTGTTTGAGATTATTTTATAAGAAAATAATATAAAGTATAAGGACACTCCGAAGTTATAAATATGAACTTTCGATTAACAGTGCCTGAAGGGTGTAAGATTAATCAAATACTATGTGCTATTTTAAGTAAGTGCAGACTTTGATTAGATACATAGAGATATTGATTACTAGAAATCTCTCGAGAAATTTTTTTCTCCTATTCTCAGTTTCTATACCAGCATTTTCTTATGGAAATTCTATTGGATGGATGTCTCCTATGACCCTTCTCCTACAATCACCGGAGTCACCCAAAGGTGTGCCATTGACTGATCTCGAGGTACGAAATTAAAATTTATTACTTATACGAACCTCAAAAAATAACTAAATAGACTTTTCACTGAAAATTTACAGGATCTTTTTATAATGCGTTGGTGTATTTTTTAATTTATTCACGTTTGATATAAAAACAAAAGCTTTTCCAATCAGGTTTCGTGTATGGCGTCCTTGCCTTATGTAGTGTGTATACCCGGTACGTACTTAATGGCAGCCATCGGAGATCGTTATGGAAGAAAACTTGCTCTTCTCACAATGTCTGTTACCTCAATTGTAAGTTAATTATTTTATATGTACATACTTTCAAAATTACTTTTACTACATAGCAAAGTAGAGAGATGAGCTTGGACGGTGGAGGTGAGCGTTTAACGCGCGTTAGATAGGGGCCCCTTAAACCTATACCTGGGTCGCAAGTCCAGGCACTGTTGAAGCTTCTCTCCTTGCAAAGTGATGGACCCGGCACCCGCACCGTAAATACATTGAATGCAAAGAGGTTTCGTCGTCTTAATGACATTCTATTCACTTCTTTCAGACCATCTGGCTTCTCAAGCTATGTTCGATGAATATTTGGGTGTTTATCTTAGCGAGGATGTTGGTTGGCATTACTATGTCTGGCGCATGTGTGACCTGTCCTACATATATCAAAGAAATCAGTGACAATGATATCAGGGGCGCCTTAGGATGCTGGGTAATTTATATAAGATAAATAGAAAAATAAAAACTATTTCCTCAGCCATTTTTAATTTATTACTGGGATAGCACATTTTTTGCCAATAGTATTTTTTAAACTGACTAAAGTAAGTAAACAATAATATGTTTAGATGCAGTATGTGAAAAACCTGTAAATATTAAAATTACTCTTATTGGGTAGGCTTCTAAAAGATTTCTTTTGTCATTCTTTTATATCACAAAATCTAGCTATTTGAATTGGTCAATGATCAATAACAAATCTGACATAAAATTCGGTGCATTTTCCTTTTATTTATTTTACTTTGGTTGGTTCAATTAATCACATTACGTTTAAAATATTTCAAGTACGGATCAGTTAATTGGATCAGTGTCAGTAACTAACCAAAGCCAAAGTTGTATATAATTTTTGGTCTTTTATTTCAGGGTACCATATTTTTTACTATGGGATGTTTGTTTTCTTATATCATCGGGGACTTGTGTAGCTACCGTTTAATTCTTCTGATTTTGTTGTTGGTACCAGTCTCACATTTTGTGATATTCCTGACGATGCCAGAATCTCCGTCCTATCTTTTAAAGAAAGGAAAAGATGAGGTATCTTATATCTTTAATATTTTCTCTAAAGGATTATATTTGATTCATTGATTACCATAACCATGATTTTTAGGAAGCATCGAAAGTATTGATGTGGCTTAGATGTAGAAAAGAATATGATTTAGCAATCAAAGAAGAAATTGAATATATTAAAGAAGAGCAAAAGAAAGACGAACATCAGGCAGTATTCTTATTAAAAAATATTGGTAAGATAACAATTTATTTATAAAAAAAAGCTATGACTTTCACTCTGACATGTTAGCGTTATGTAAAACTATGAAGAAGTTTGGACGCGTACCAACTTATAGACACAAAATTTCAAATATTAAACATAATTTTATGACTAAAGTTACACATGCTTTAAATAAGCCTGCTAAAAAGCATGCTCAATACAAGCATGCCTGCCGCCTGGGAGCCGTTTACACGTGCAATAAGCATGCTTGTTTTAAGAAAAGTTATGGTTATTCAAACAGCTATCCTTATGGGGATGAATAAGATCATCCTTTATCAGAATCATGATCATGAATAAGATCATGCAATGCATCCAGCAGCTTATATCAGGTCGCCAAAAATGAAAAGAAAGAGAATGTTTTGGGTCCGAAATTGGATATCGAGAAGACAGGACTTGGGAGCAAGTGTTCTATTACTTACAGAAATACGAGGAGACGATGTTTCATCTATTAAAATTGACTGATAAGTATTAGCATGCTCAATAAGCAAACGTGTTTAGACATGCTTAAAGCACGCCCCCTTACACCCGTGCCGCTAGTAGTATGCTTAAAAATCGCACGACTGTCGATTTTAAAGCATACTCCAAATAAGCATGCTTATTATAAGCAACACTTTGACACATATGCTAGTAAACAGCAAGTGCTCAATTAATGCATGCTTTCGTGCTTGAAATAAGCATGTGTAACAGTAGCTAAACGTTATATTGTAATTAAACGTAATTTAACTAATAATACTATATATGTAAATAGCTGTCTGTTAATAGTTTACGATAAAAATTAAAAGATATCACATGTAATTAATATTATAATATATTCCTGTGTCATGATATGTTACAAATTTTGGACAGTTATTAAACACAACTACTAAATAATTCGTATAACAAAAATGTATGAAGGCGATTATATGCAAATATTATAATTATCAGAAAGTATTGCACATCTACGTAAAAAGAAACCTTTGTCTGTACTAATTAATTTACCGTTTTTTCTGTTATGCTATTCGATACTTTTATATCCGTTCATTTATTTAAATGTATTTATTACATTCAGAATTCTGTATCCAATCGACGAAAATAATATGAGATGATACATATTATAAATGTAGAAATAAAATTCATTTGTAGTTTACACTATGGCGATGTTTTGTGTCAAGTTATCCTAAAATATTTGATTATCATCTCAATCAAACATGTTTATATTTTTTAGGGAAAGATAACATTCTTCGTAGAGCATTCTACATATCATTAGTAGCTGCTATGTCCAGAGAACTCTGTGGAAGTGTCCCAATTTTAATATTTGCTGGATATATATTTAAAATATCATCAGAGGGAACAGGGATCGAGTTGAGCCCCAACCAGAGTTCCATGGTGTTAGGAGCTGTTCAGTTACTTGGAGCTACTTTAGTCTCAGCAATCGTCGAAAGATTTGGACGGAAGGTAAAATTAATATTTTAATTTAATATTGGTTACTAAACATATCACAAACTTGCATCTTATTAACTTCAGAGTTTCATTTATGTAATGTAGTTTCATTTATAATGTAGTTTCATTATTCAGAGTTTCATTTATGTATGTAGTTAGTAAGGATGCAATTATTTCATCAGACTCATCTTCTTCTTTTCCATGTCCTGGTCCTCAATTACGTGTAGTCTTCACAACATGTTCTTCTCTGCCATTCTCGCCTATCAGCCTTTCTTACTCATCTGATCCTTCACACAATCCATCCATCTTTTCTTAGTTCTACCACGACTCACATAACCTTCAACATTCATATCAAACATTCTTATTATTACATAACAATCATCCCTTGAGATAATATGCCCATACCATAATCTATTACTTCTCAACTTTTCCATCACCAATGCTAATTTCAAACTTCCTCTGATATAATTATTTCATATTTTGTATAATTTGATGAGATAGAGAGAGGAGCTTGGACAGTGGAGGTGAGCGTTTAATGCGCGTTAGATAGAAGCCCCGTAAACCTACACTTGGGTCTCTAGTCCCAGTCACTGTTGAAGCTCCTCTCCCTGCAACGATGGACCCGGTAACCATACGGTGAATCCATTGAATGCTAAGAGTCTCTCTTTATTATGTTCTAGCCCTTGCTTCTAGCGACTTGTCTCCTTTCTGGTACCAGCTTGTGTATTCTTGCATCCTGGTTTGTCTTCCAAAACTTCGATCCACCATCTTGGATTCCCGTGACCACATTATGTATAGTCATTTTCTGTGATTCGTGTGGCCTCCTACCGTTAACGCTTGTTTTAACGAGCGAGATATTTTCGTATAAGGTGATTAACACAATAATATTAAAGAGATAAAACACACATACAATATATGTATATATAAATATATTTATTTGTTTTTTCTTTCAGTATCGAGGCATAGTACTAGCAACAACAATGGCACTAGCATCTATAGCGGATTTTTTCCAGCTTATTCTATTTAAGTTTTTAATCAAAGTGACCAGCGCCTGTTCAGTATTTTATATTTATGGTGTCATTAGTATTCTGACTGCGGTCTATGTATTCATTAAAGTACCAGAAACTAGGAACAGACAATTAGAAGATATATATTATGATCTGAAAACCAAAAAGGAGAAAAGGCAATTGGAAACCGTATTGCAATTTAGGCCGATAAATATTACAAATAACATGATAAGGTAGAAAATGTATTAAAAAAATAAAGAACGGAAGCTTTCTTTAAATTATCTCTTTCAAATATGACCAATTTATAAATTTAATTTTATTTTTATATGCAAATTAAAATTATTAAACTGTCAACCAAATCGAATAACGTACGTCATTAGAGTAGTTAATTTGAAAAAATAAAATATTATAAATTTATTATAATAAATGTTGATAAAAAATTTATAACTGTTTTATATGAAACATAACTTTACAATTTTTCATATATGTAGACGTTTGTATTTGTTTCTATTTTATAAATAACTTGTGAAACTTCTCATAATAGCTATCAGTCTAATAATAAGTTAAATGTCATAAATATGGTCTCATTACTACGAGAACTCATGATTAGTAATCAACAGTGAACAAGTTATTCAACTTATATCTATGTTAATAACGCAAAATTCTCAAAAATATTTAAGCCATATATTTATATTTATTTTGACTACTTTAGAAGCTGAACAGTGAAAGTCTAAACTATTATAAGCTTCTGTTTATAAGAGACTATATATAAATAAAAAGAGCCCCTTGGATTATGTCTTAGCAATACGTCACATTATCAATTTGGTGGAATGCTCCTGTTATTTTTTATGGAGCAAAACGAATGATTGTATCTAAACAAAAATTTATATCATTTATTTCATAATAAAGTCTAAATTGCATTAATATTTAACAAAAGTATATGATTCATATAAAAAACTTATCTATAAGTCGCTTACAAAACGCTGTATATTATTTATCTAAACATAATTATTTAATACATACGATCAATATCAATAGAAATATATAGGATCATAATTACATAACTGCGTTCTAAGAAACCATAAGTAATAGAAATTTGACACTCATAATCATAGATCATGTCTCATTTATCATTGTTATAAATGATGTTCAAATGAATTATTATACGAAATAAACACCAGCTTAATAAATGGTTACATTTTAATACAGAATGCTGTCAAGTGTCAAGAGAGATCAAGGCTATTGCTAATACGATCTAAATAGAAAAAACTTAAACAAAAATGTTGAAGTGATTGTCTAATAAGATGAAAATTTAACCGTTTACTTGCCTGATGGAGTATCCTGCCGCTATGTTTGATGTCTTTTTAGATGATATTTTGACACATGTTGGTATAATGTCATGATCACGGCATCTCTATAGGAAATTCAAGGATGGTAATAATCTAGTTTTCTTTGTCTTGAGCTACTCCAACGGTATTTTGTTGGCAATTCCAGTCCGAAATCCAGAAATGTAAGTCTTTAGCGAGTATTCATTTAAATGAAACTAATATTATTCAGATTACTATACGTATTTTTTTATTTTAAGAGCTACATACTCCCGTTGCTGAGAAGTAACCGAAACAATTAGCTTAAAATAATTAATGAGATAAACTTTACACTTTTCACTCTACCCTATTTGCTATCTCTTTCATCCCCAGAATTTTAACTTGGAGTGGTGGGTTTGGTATCTAGCCCACCAGGTTTCCTGGCGTTGATATTATACAAGACAAACAAAAAATTAAGTCTCTTATTATATGTCTAGTTTAATATTAGTTTTACTATAGGTAGAATGTGTCAATTACATTAATTTCTTTACTTAAAATTTACACCTCGATTTTTTCGATACTTTTTTTTATCTTTGGCTTCAGCTCAAAAGTTTTATGATATCAATACAATCAATCAATAGCGAAATTAACCGCATCGGAATCTGTAGATCCGTTTAAGAGTTACAATGCTACAGACAGACATACACCCGAACACAGACATCAATATCATACTTAAAACACGTCTCTTCTTACATGCGGATTAACAATGTAAAAAAAATAATATTTAAAAAAAAAGCCTTCAAATTTCCTCAATGATTATTATTTAACACCAAATAACAAAGATAACAATTTGTTTTTAGAAATCGTTAATAAGATTTCGTTTAGAATTGATGTCATCAAAGATAAAACATGTTAAATTTTTAATTAGCATGTAATATTACAAATATGTAATACAGAAAAATAATTTGTCATATATCATAAATACTATTATTGGGAAATCAGATATAAAATGTTTGTATTGTAACATGAGATATTGTTTGTCAGTGTGTACATGTCTTAAAATTTGTTATATGAAATTAAAATATCTAAAATTCGCTACTTTTGTTTTGATGAGTTTTGAATCTCAAATATCAACATAGAACATGTTTTTTTCTATAATTTTCTTGTATATAAGATGCTCATACGAAAGCTAGACGTAAATTAAAATTATTCTCTTAACAAAACAAAATTAAATTAAAAATTTGCTATTACTTTGTAGTACACTAACGAAGTCTATTAAAAATGTGTACTATATATGTATTTCATTCGTCATCAGCCTATCAGAGCCTACTGCTGAGCAAGGCCTCTTCTCACATGGAGAAGGTTTGAGCATTAATCACCACGCTTGCTCGAGACGGGTTGGTGATTTCAAACTTATAATAGTGAAACTATAAGTCCAGGTTTCCTCACGATGTTTTCCTTCACCGTATGTCAGTGATGTCTAAATATTCTCAGAAATTACATATGACTCCGAAAAATCACATTGGTACTTGCCAGGTTTGGCCTAGGCCTAGGCCACCACTGACTATATATGTATATAATTATAGAAAAGGAAGGATGATTTTGTTTCTTTTTAACACAAAATATAACAAAAAATAATTTATAAAGTCTAAGGAACAAAAAGTTTAGTAATATATTACGCGAAAACGTGACAGCTGTATATGATAAGTATTAAATAATTCTATATTTATATTTGAGTACAAATTATTATCGTGAGAGGTACTTTTGATAATATTTATCAATATTAAATCACGGCTCCCGTTTTGTATCTACTATCATACGATCAAGTAAATTTAGGTTGTGATAACACTACGGTACTACACACTATTTAAAACAACATCACAGAATATTGTTTAGTATGTTTGTACACTTAATATACATTGATTTTAACACACACACACACATACATATATATATATATATATATATATATATATATATATATATATATATATATATATATATAGTCATAAGTGTATTAGTTCATATATTAAAGAACTATTTTACAATATCATTTACTTTTTAAGGAATTCATTTTCCTAACGATATAGAATTTCAGTTTTTTAAAAGTACTGTATATAAATAAAGTTCTTTTACTATTAATTTCATAACCTAGCTTACTGGACGAATTTTGTTCTATAGGAAAAATTTTACATGTTCCACGTATGAAAAACAATGGTCTCATTATAAAAGCTAACGATAAAATATACAAATAATAGATACAAGAGAAGCTGTACCAGAGTTGAGATCAATGAAAGAAAACATCTGTTCTATATTTACTAAATGTAAGTAGTATTTATTGGTAAAATAAGTATTAGTATTTAACGTTTTTGAGTACACTGAGTACAATCGTCATAATTTTCAATGTTAATAATGATTTATAATCAAAAACATAATTATTATGTTACATTACTCATGTCGTTACTTTATTGTTTGGCTACAAAATTCAAAACTATAAATTAGGATCTCTAACGAACTTCCAAAAGACGTCAATTCTCTACTGAACTGATATCAAAAATATAAAAATTTTGATCTGTACACAAGAACATAATAAATGAATAATAATAGATTGAAATGAGCACAACATTTTCTCAAATCGATACTTCAAAACCCACTTGTGTCTAGCTAAAACGTAAAATTGAAATTCAATACCAATTTCAATTAACTTTTTAAAGATGTCACTCTATTACTAAAATGCTAATCTCAGAAGAGAAACGTATAATGGGACTAACAATGAAATACTTCTGAAAATAGAAATGAAATATTTAAGTTTAATAATAATATTTTGTTTGCTGACCGTCACTCACTGTCTTCTTGTAAAACATAAGAAAACAAACTAGACGTACATCGTCCATTTCAATAGACACTTATCTGTTTGAAATCTAGTTATACTGACATTTATAAAACATTTAATAACAAAACTTAGAAATAAAATAAACAAACAGCTAAATAAATACCAGTTTAGAAGTGAAAAACATTGTGAGACTAATATTTTTCGAATATACTACTACGCGACTTTATTTTTGATAAAAACTACATACAACCGACGTTTCGGCTACTTTACAGCAACCGTGATTAGGGACAGACGAGATGTGAATATCACATGTAGTAGTTTAAAAAAAATTAGTTTCATTAAAATGACTCGCGAAAATGTACGATCTCATTATGAAAAACATTGTGTTTATAAAAAATCATATATTTTATAACGGCTAGATAAAGGCTATTATATAAAGGCTAGATAAATCCTTAAACAAGAATTGTATTTACATTCATATAAAATGTACATAAAGATTACTTTAAATGTATATACACCACTTCATAGAGTTACAATCATATTTGTATAACCTATTCATACTTGAAACATGCTTAAACTGTTATAATAATTGTTATTTAGCATAACACATGCTTACTATTTTATTTATATAACATGTAAAACCGAATACTATAGCTAGTATTCGTGAGACGCTTACAATAGTGTCGCATGCGCCTGCGCCGCTTTCAGTAGTACCGTGGCTATTGGCGAGCTAACTTCGCTTACGTTAAGGATTTTTGAAATAAACAAATTTTTTGTATTACGTATTATCAGTGTTTGTGAAATATATAATATTCTTTGATATTCAAGAATAAATAACTTAATTTTTAATTATTTTGTTGAAAAGAATATTTTCTTTACAATACATAGAAAGTTTTTGGTGTATTCCGTAATGTATGAATATGATAAACGATTGAATCTTGGGAGGACATTGAGGTGATGATTCATGAGTTTTGGATGAAGGGAAGATGACTTGGACCAGGGAGTTGGATGAGGCTGCGATTCTGGCGACTAGGAAAGGCTACTGGCATATAATTCTTTTCTATCTTCTATGTGGTCTGGCAGCGATACCTACCTCGTTTCTAGTTTTCTCCCAGGTAATTCGAGTTGATACACAAATTAGCGTCGTTTAAATTCTACAAAATAAAAAATGAGGTATTTTTAACTATTAGAAGTTACAAATAACATTTACGTTGTTATATGATCGTCGGATACTTTTCATGAAAACTAATAAAGAAAAGGTCGATTATGAATAAATTAAAAATTTTATAAATAACATAATTTTACATAACAATGTTTATTGTAAACTTTTTTCTATTGTATAGTTTATTTTAAAAAAGTGAAAAACAGTTGAAGAGGGCAAAATATACCTTTGGCTTTTTGTTTATATTTGCATTAAGACGATTTAAACTTGACATAATTTTTTTCTTTCTTTTTCCAAAAGATCCTCTAAATTCTTTTATTTTTTAGAAAGTGTTTGTTTTCATTTAAATTTAAATAGCCATTGCTTAATGATTTTGTTGCACGAATTTTTTTTTTGTGGGATCTAACAATTTTATTGGACCCATCTGAAACTTCAACATAAATTAATTATCTTCAACATAGAATAAAACTGATTTCGTATTTACGATTGATTGTACATACAATAAACTATGTAACTGCCAATTTAAAGTTGCAACGTGTATCTTTATAACTTAAACTGTCATATACCTTACAATTTGTTTGGCTGTGTTTTAGTACGACAAAACTTGAACTAATAGTACTGTTAAGACTATGGTGAATAGAAATATATATATATTACCCAGTTCAGATAGTCATCTGTTTATAAAAAGGCAGAGTAGCTACGTCACGCAATGCGTAATTCCTTCTAAGTGCGCCTTCAAATTAAGATTCATCTGCGTTTTTCTCTACGTACTTATAATATCAAGTGTCAGAATTTTTTGTTACTTCACTCGTACATACATCGTAACTAATTGAAATGATTATAATAATATGTTTTAAACTTTATTGATATTTTTTTTATGAGTATATTGGCTAAATAGGATTTTGATTCATATCGAATCGCAAAAAGTCAAATACGAAATATAATTTTTAAGGTAGTTGCTTGAAATAAGCGCTGCTTTTATGTAGGATACACTTATTGTTTTTCTTATTTACAAAAAAAATGTGAAATTTGAATCTGTTCTAGTAAAGACATTAAAAGCTTCGTAAATATTTTAATTACTCACTCTGTATTTACCCATGATTTTAAGTAATTCTTCTCTCGTTATTCATCTACTGTGTAAAACACAATTAGGTACTTAATATTATAAGGACGAGGAAGTATTTCATAAAATTAGGTCAATAAACTAATCTTAACAGTTAGAATAATTGAATCAACAGTTGTTTAATATGACTCACAGATCGGGGTATAGAGAGGAAACCTGTTTCTTAAAAGGTAGTAACGTTTTTAAGGTAGAGATGAGTGGAAAAAATTGATGAAAATAGTTTCCAAAAAACCTAAGAACAGGGTAAAGCTAAAAGAATAAGTGAAATTGGTTAAGAATAGGGTGTGGCCATTATAAATAAATGATTATTCTTAATTCAACATAAACTTCTAAGCTGAAAGAGTAATACACTTTTTATTAAAACTTAAATGACCTTAAAGATATGTATGTGTCTAAGTTTAATTCTATGAAATATATTTTAACACCATTCATGTACAAAGTTAGTTTTAGTTGTAAGTGGTGCTGTAAAACTTGTTTACCTTTCCTTGATCTATAACACAATGCTCTCACCGAGTTTAATTTACATGACAGTACTATGTACGTGTTTACATACTAGATTTAATTACGGTAGTTTACTACAATTTTCTTTATTTACAAAACATAATTATAGTAGTCTAGTAATATGCGAATTTTTGAAATTATTTCTGTGAGGTACATAATATAAATATTAAATACAGGGTGACTGGTGAATTACTATCGATACTTGAGGACGTGATATTTGACGATCATATATGACAAAATAAAAATTAATATAACATAAATATTAATAAACTTCTGAGTAAAGTTAACCAAAAGTTATGTAATTAATTACTCATCGTGTGAACACCCTACAGATTAGGTATACACTCACACACACATACGCGTGCGGCAGCATGTTGTTGTATCAGCGCGCCGCCGCACGCGTCCACACTTGGAACACTTGGAACGTGTCAACACCTTATTTATTTATACGGAAGTTTGGTCAAAAATTAACTACCTATTTTTTTACATAATTCGAATGAGAATCATGTACCGAGTATTCTCCTTAAATATTGATAGTAATTCACCAGTCACCCTGTATACGTCAAATATCACTGGCTTTAGCTATCATTTTAGAGACAGTCTTCTCAAAATCGACTCAGCAGTTTTATATCGAAGAAATATACAGATAGATAAAGATTGTAAACATATAATGAATCACCTAAAACTTGTTTTGCATTTAAATAATTAATATTCCTAACACACTTAAGTCTATATATATTTGTATCATAAATTTTAATTTTATGTAAGTTCAGTTATTAAATCAATTATGTACCTTGAACTAAAATAACTCACGTCTTGTTGTAATTAGTGCTAGAAAATGAGAAATAAATAACCAACTTTATTGCATTTATATCATAACTTTAAAATAAAAAAGTATTAAATCGATCAAAAATAAATAAAACTTAAAAACTTTGATTTGGATATACGGTAATAATATATAAAATTGAATAATACAGCTTATACCTAGTTTTTTTTTTAATAATATATACTCGAAAAGTCAGGTTGATTGTCTATTAATAAAAATTTTAAACAAAAATCTATCTGCCTATATAAGTTTGAGATTTTTTTTCAATACATTGCATTAATTAACGTTGACACCAAAGTTTAAACCGGCCGTATAAAAAATTAAAAGAAATCACTTTAATTAATTCACATTTCAAAACTCAAAAATTGTACCAGGAGAACATAAAAGTCGAGGCGGTTAAATCAAAAATCAAAATATTTGGTTGACCGCCGCGCCGCGCCGTAGCGTTTTATTGAAATTTTATATCGTGCATAATACATCGTAATTTATTTAAAACGGGTCTCGGTAGCTCCAAATTTAACATGTCCGAAATGTTGTTTGACAAGATTTTTTATACCTATATATATATCATAGTTTTTTTGGTAGTAATTAAAATTCAATTGCTGTAACTTATTGCTCTAGATATGGAATATATTTTTTGTTCCAGGTGTTCACGAATGCTACACCAGTTCATTGGTGTGCTCCGATAAAAGAGATTGATGAATTGAATCTTCCAGAAGATGTTGTATTGAACCTGACAGTACCAGGGGAACATGGAGTTTACGAATCTTGTCTCATATACGATATAGATGTAAACGCATTAAATATAACTCTTGGACAAATTACTGAGAGGTACATTTTGTTGTTTTTGTACATAATAGTTTTGTGTACATTTAAAGTTTGTGTACAGTTTCGTTCGTCATAATATTGGCAGACGTCCAAATACTTCATTATCATTTTGGCTTCAAAACATATCGATTCGGCGCCCATAGCCTTTATCGTAAAACATATATTATGTTTATTTTAACTCAGCCTATATTCACGTTAATCAATTATATTATATGTTGTACATCACGATTTATTTTCGGCAGATCAAATCACGTACAAGGATCAGTACGGAATGCACTTGAAGATAACCAGGTGATTTTAAATATGTATAAGAGTTTTATTATATATTAATCACTAGCTTTCCGCAAGCAGCTTCGCCCGCATGGAGTTCGGTTATATCGCGTTCCCAAGATAATCTTTTAAAAATCTGGGATAAAAACTATCCTATGTCCTTTCTCAAGGCCAACTCCATCTCTGTACCAAAATTCATTAAAATCAGCTAAGTGGTTTAGGCGTGAAAGCGTAACAGACAGACAGACAGAGTTACTTTCGCATTTATAATATTAGTAGGGATTTTAATGAATTCATTTAGCTTTCTTAAACATATAAATCGGGTGCGATTTAATAGTTATTTATTTGTTTCAGATAGAGTCTATACGAGATAGTATATTGAAGTTAAGAAAGGGACCCGTATCATGTAAAAATGGTTGGAAATTTCAAAAAGATCTGTACACTAGGACTTTGGTCTCGGAGGTAAGAAGATATGGGTCAAAGAATATGAAAAAATTACTCCAGATAGTATTAATAGTCACATGTCTTAGACACATTAATTTAATATTGAAATTTTTATTTCCTTCACATTTTTTGTTCCAGTTTTCGCTAGTCTGTGATAGAGAGTGGTTACCACGAACAAGCAACACATTATTCTGGGTGGGATCAATATTCGGAAACGTTTTCTTTGGCTTAATATCCGATAGGTATGTTTAGTAAAAGTTCATCGAAATATTTATATCACAAAAAATAAATAATAAACAGTTAAATAAAAGTAATATTTTCGGATTAACATACGCGTTATTTAATAATTTTTAAAACTACATACTGTCAACGTTTCGACTACTTTGCAGCAACCGTAATCACGGGCAGACGAGATGTAGGTAGTTTTAAAAATAATACGAAGTAATCCGAAAGTATTAATTTTATTTAAACGAATACTCTCCCAAATCTTACACCTCATTTACTTAAAGCGTATAAAAAATAAAGTAAATGGAAACTAAGACAAATCCTAAATACTCAACTGCCTTGACTAATTTAATAATTTACGTTTTCTCAACTAGATATGGCCGAAGACCCGCAATTCTTCTCATGATAACCTTGGAGGTACCGCTTGCTATAGCCGCTTCATTCCCAGGGAATTACTGGATCTTCATAGTGTTGAGGGTGGCTGGGGGACTGTTCTTCCCGGCTCTTTACCAGCTACCCTTCATATTGGCTTTGGAGCTGATGCCGCCAAAGTGGAGAACTTATGCTGGTACGTAGTCTATGAGGGGTTAACAAAACATAATCGCTTTATGAAATTTTATTAGGAAATTTGGACGTCTTGATTTATTTATTATTGAGTTATTGTAAATATATCTTAATTGTTATGTTCAGCTAAGAGTTAAATTATTATTCTCAATTAAAATATCCTTACGTGAGATTTTAACGAGATATTTCGAAGGTAGCAGGTATGTTTTCTGGTTATTTCGATAAATATCACTCATACTTTCTAATTAAAATTAAAATTTACTAAATTGAGTTCTCGTATAGAAATTAGCTTGCAAATTTTTTTCGTTTATTACTTTATAATTGAAGTGAGTTACTTTGTTAAGATCATATGTTTTTTCAAAATCATTTTTGCAATATTCCGATAACATGTATATTGTAATGAAAATGTACACAATTTACCTTTTTATAACTAACTACATTTTAAAAGATATTTTTCATTAATAAAAGTATCAATATACTTCGAAACTATGCAAATAAAACAGACAAATAGATATTGTTACTTAAAACCACTATACTACATTCTTCTTTTTGTAATTACCCTTCAATATTTAGAAGTATTAACAATGAATTTCAAATAATTCATGATTATTACGGTAATTTTCAGGTATCGTAGTTGGGATGTTGTTTGGAAGCGGTATGTGTCTGCTAGCTATTCTGGCGTGGCTGTTGAGAGACTGGTTCTACTTATCACTAGCCTCCAGTGTTCCCTTCGTCCTTTTATTTGGGTTCGTGTTAAACTTGTTTTAGCAATCAAATATCAAATTATATAGCCTATATCTAGATAGTACAATAGATAGTCCTACAGAAATCTCAGTTTATATTTGGAATTAAATAAAGTAAGAAGTCCAAAACATTAAATTCATGAAATTAAGATATGATCAAATATTTTATTTATTTTACTTATTGCTTTCATTTTATTCCTATTTTTACAGATATTACTGGCTTATTCCTGAATCACCACGCTGGTTAGTTGGTAGAGGACGTATTGCTGATGCGGAAAAGGTTCTCAGAGAACTAGCTAGAAGAAATGGTATACATTTAGAAAGTGGATTTCTGATAAAATTACATGTAAGCATAAAAAAATATTTTAAAGTGTCCTTTAGACCACACGACTGAGTGAAAATTCTTTCGCTCCATCTATATGTAATACTTATATGCATATATTATAATATCTTCTTCCTGGCAATTTCCCAGCTTTAGCCAGGGTCTGCCTTCATATGTTTATGTAATACAGACATTCATATACATATTATATCTATACATTTCATGTACTTACCCCCAAGTTTTACTTCAAAAAGTTGTGTAAGAAAATTTAAACAAAAGTGTCTGTCTTAATATTAAATACGTTTTACAGAAAAAGTTGAAAAATGATGACGATGAAGCAGAAATTACAATCTTACGTAACGGTCAGGTTTTATCACAAACAAATGATTTGAAGCAAAGAAGGAATGAAATGATTTCATACAAACCGACCATTATAATAAGCGAAGTACACGAGGAAGATGATAGAAGAGACCACGTTGTTGAAGAAGAAATGCCAAATATTAATGTTGTAAAACTTACAGGCACTAAAAGTAATAGAGATGAGGAATTGAGTCTCAATGACAAAAATGAAATACTACAACACATTGACAAATCAAAAATACATACATTGAGACGAAAATCGATGCAATTGGTGAACAAGATCTTACTGAAAGAAGAAGAAGAGGATGTTTTAGAACGAAAGCGATTAGATGATCAAAACTCCGAAGGAGATTGCAAGGCCTCTCCTCTAGATATATTCAGATATCCTAATTTAAGAAAGAAGTTCTTTTTGCTAACTGTTAATTGGATAGCAATAGGCGTTGTGTACAACGGTTTGAGTTATAACACACCAAACTTGGGTGTGGATGATTATCTGGCGTTCTTTATAGGTACGATCATTTAATTTAACTTAGATTTTAATATACACAAAGACGAAACGTCCTCATTCAATGTATTCACCGTGCGTGTGTCAGGTCCATCGTTGTAGTGAGAGGAGCTTCAACAGTGACTGGGACTTACGACCCAGGTGTAGGTTTAAGGGCATCCTATCTAACGCGCGTTAAACGCTCACCTCCACCGTTCAAGCTCCTCTCTCTATCTAATATAGTTTACTTTTAAATTTGATTTTTTGTTTCTTTTTTTGTTGTAGTTTTTTAAGTTTCTTTTTCGTTTATCTCAAGTACTAACAACCGATTCTTATGATATTTTCAGGAGGTTTAGTGGAACTGCCATCATACTTTATTGCGTGGAAGTCCATGGATCGGTTCGGACGGCGTTGGGTGTTGTTCTGCTTTGTCAATGTGGGAGGAGTTGCTTGTTTATGTTGTGCTCTAGTACCAGAAGGTAAATTATGAAGTTATTTAGAGAACGAAAGAATACACTTCCAAAATAATGTTATTTTTTAACTTATAAAGTGTTTTCAATTGCTTACTTTTGTACTTCGGATAAACGACTTAAACAAAAAGTTATTTATCGGTGCTTGAATTTGTTATAAAAATAGTCATATAAACAAAAACGGCACTTGAACTGACAAATGGAAAAGATACTTTTACTTTTAGAATAGACCCTAAAAGTGAGGAAGTAAAATTAAAAAAGATTATAGACTGTTAAAATATTAAGTTATGCAAAATTTAAGAGCCAGATTTTCAAAAGCACAGTTTCAGACCGATCATTATTCTATACTAAACTTATTAATATTAATATTTCTAGCTTGGCCGTGGGTGACAGTATTTCTGGCGATGCTAGGTCGTCTCTGTGCAGCAGCCTCCTTCTCTGTGTTCTATGTGCACATAGGAGAACTTCTGCCCACTGTATTAAGAGCACAGGCCATGGCGTGCGCGTCTTTCATAGCTGGTATAGGATTGCTGGCATGCCCATATATTGTGTCTTTGGTGAGTATTGTCAGATAGTTTTTGTCCAAAAAAAAGTAAATATTTTTAACATAAAATATATGTTCCCGATGTAGCTTTTTATGCTCGGTAAATAAAATTTTAAAACTTCCAATAGGCTATATGCAATCAAGTTTACAAATGATTATTTATTCAAATAAGTACTTATAAAGCTTTTCTTACTCTATGTTATGATTCATAAGTATTGCAACATTAAATTCTACAGTATTCTGCATCTTGAAATCCCTTTTCTTATTAAACAAGTGTTTTATATCATCTTTATTTCCAGGCTTCCTTGTCCAAGGTTCTACCCTTAGTCATCATGGGCGTGTTAAGTTTAATTTCGGGAGTCATCACATTATTCCTCCCGGAGACTCTCAACCAACCGCTGCCTCAGACCCTCGGGGATGGAGAGTTGTTCGGTCGAGATTTTAAAGTACTGAGCTGTGTTGAAAACCGTGAATAGATCGTGAAATATGTGTGAAAAAAGCGCCTTAATCGTGAATACCATTCAATAGTATTAGTCGGTTTAAAATATTTACTAATACGACACTTATGTGGATGCATTTAATAGGTTTCATCTAACTTCCAGCATTAATTTTTTCAGCTGCAAGTAAAAAAACCAGGAAGAAGAAGTGATGAAGAAGTTCTTGCATGTAACTTATAGTGGATTTGTGTGTTGTTTTTTATATGTATTATTTATAATTCGAAAATTCATGTCTGTAAATATTAAATCAGTATTATTAAAAATCGCTAAAAAACCTTTATCAGTAATTTTAATTTTATTGCTAATTGATAATAAAATATATTAATATTAATCTTAAAAATAACATTATGTAAATATATCTTAATATGTTTATGTTAATATGTCTAGTCAGTTAAAAAATGTGACTTTTTTTGTATTATATCCAATTATATCCTGATTCAGATCGGAAGTACATTTTATTAATTAATGAATATTTGGATTCAATCTTATGCATTACCCTGTACAACGTTTTAAATTATTATTATAATGATATCTAAGATTCTCGATGTATTTATTGAAATGAAACTGAGGTTTTCGGAAATTACAACGCGTTTTTTATTATTTCATTTACGGGATACTTTCACCTTAGCAGCCCGTGATCACAATTGATCCAAATTCCAAAGGAACCGAAACGTATGGATTACGTAGTAATAAAATAATACAAAACGAGTATGTAGTAATATCCTAAAACCTTAGTTTTGTTTTAAATTATGTATTTATATTTAAAAGTTTTATTACATTTTTAATAAAATTATTTAGTAGAAAAAAAAGGAATGAAATTGAAGGTGAAGTTCAAAGTTGACCTAAGCTATATTTCTTTTTAATAAACAAAATATAATTTGTATTCATATTATTTTGTAAGAATTTATTTGTTTAATTCGTCCACCCACCATCGGTTTCCGTGGTGTAGCGGTTATCACATCTGCCTAACACGCAGAAGGTCCCCGGTTCGATCCCGGGCGGAAACATATTTTTGCATTTTTTAACTAAAATCTCTAAATCGAGTTAAAATAAACCGATCCTTATTAGTTGAAACGAACTAAATGTTCCGTATCAGGATACATTTGCAATATTCTTTTAGTTGGAGAATAACATTTATTATATAATAGGAACAGAGAAGTCATGCAGTTTACAAAAATGCGGAATAAATATCTTTATCTCAGATATTAAATTCAGACCACTTTATTTCAAGCGGTGAAGGAGATTCTAACAATTAAAAACTAATACAAATATTAATAATAAAAGAATGAGAGAAAAATCATTTAATGTTACCAACACAGCCATCTAGCGAAATAAGTGTATTTTACACAAATCACAAGCTTACTCAGCGGCAACAGAGTTACGTTTTGTTTTCATAGATGGCGCTTATATGTATAAATATTGTAAGTTGTAGTCCGTTTACGTCTTCATAAATCATAATTATTAATAAAAAAGGCATAAATACTATGAATCGAATAAATCTCATATAATGTGGAATAACTAAAATTAATTCCCTTATAATATATTCCATAAAAAAAACATCGTTACGTATTATACATACTTATTATTAAACTTAGAATGAACATATTTTAAAAACCCAATATTAAATAAAAAAACTGAGATGAAAGGGAAAGTTTTACATCCCGGATTTACAGTAATGACACAAATTGATGTGTTGGGTCATGGGTTTTTACATTTTGCAAAAAAAATTTTGTTCATTTTCTATTAAGAACGCGATAGCCTTAGACATATTCAAAAAAATCTTTTACTATACAGCTAGAACTATTTAACAACAAAATATTTTAACCGAGAATGGATATACTACTTGATTTGAAAATAAATTAAAAATCTATTACCCCAAATATTTAATTTACTTGATTTTATACAAACAAATTTTACATTTGACACCCATATTGTAAATATCATTAATTGTAACAGATCCGCCATCTTGTGTGTGACGTCATTGTATATAAAGTATGACGTCACACATGTGACCACAGACTCAAGTCCAAACTGTTTTCTTATACAAAGGTTCAGATCAATACGTTGAGGATATCGGCTTTGAAACTTAGTTGAAAGATTTCAGACGGACAAATAACTTACATACATACACTGAAAAGATAATGAGCTCTTATAAAAAATTATTATGTAAATTAATAGAAAAAGAACATTGTTTATATTAAAATTATAAATAAAAAAGAATAATAATTGTATGTATTTAAATTGTATGATTGTGTAATCGGATACCATGGAAGCATAACATGTAAGAAATATGCGCAGTGTTGTAAGATAGAAGAAACATTGTTAAAATATTTTAAACTTATATTTATATTTTGTTAATATAAATATGAATTTATCGCTAAGCTATAATTATTTAAAATATATTTATTAAATTGTATTTACCTACTAGTAACGCCATCTATGTACGGGAAACTACAACTTCTAGTCTAGAAAATTGCTACCTATTTGCTATGCCCATATCAAAGTTTTATTAAACTCGGTTCAGCTTTTCTCTCGTTACAGAGTAACAAACACTCATTCATACTAATTCCTTTTGAGATTTACGTCCACAGTCTAATTACAATAAAACATTTACCCACTGTTTTAATTACAATGTGTCATACAACGAAAGATTTATATTTTATACTGAGATTGTACAGATGAATTCTTTCATGGAATTATATAATACATTTTTTTATTAAATAAAAATACAAAATAAAAAATTAAGTAGTAAAAATCGACCTTAAATTTATTATTAATCGTGAATTCTATAAACTTATTTTCAACTAAAGATATGTCTAAATATATAATATATACATACTAGCTTTCCGCCCGCAGCTTCGCCCGCGTGGAGTTCGGTTATATCGCGTTTCCAAGAGAACCTTTCAAAAGTCTGGGATTAAAACTATCCCATGTTCCTTCTCAAGGTCAACTCTATCTCTGTACCAAATTTCATTAAAATCAGTTCTGTGGTTTAGGCGTGAAAGCGTAACAGACAGACAGAGTTACTTTCGCATTTATAATATTAGTAGGGATATATGATTATAAGTAAATATATTCTTTATATTATATATCAATAAATATGTTCGCTAAAGTATTTTATAATGAATGTAAGTCGTGAGAACGTATTAAGTCACCTCCCGGCGCCTGTAGCGTCCAATGTTATAATAAATTAATTAATAATATACACATATATATAATAATAATATATTATTATTTATTACTGTATTATTATTATATTAATTTAGTTTAATTAAAGTTTTTTTATAATATAATAATAAAAAATAATTAAGTATATTGAAATGTTCAATTGAATCATATGTTTATAATTATCTATTAAATTGACAGTCAAAATAAACGAGCACATTTTTATGTGTTTCAGGGAAAGACGTCAATATTTTTAACACACTCACACATGCATAGTGTTGTGTATGTGTGTGTGTATGTTGCAATCCCTTAAATAGGGCAATCCGACTACTAATAGATAAAAACAGGACCGGCTTCACATTCATACAAAAAAAAATACATACTAGTTTTTGCCCGCGACTCTGTTCGCGTAAACATAAGAATTGCGCTCAAATGGAAATGTATAGTGTGTTAAAACTACATATAGTAACTTACGTTGAAGTCAGTAGTGGCCTAGTAGTTAAAAGACCCGCCTCTCATGCATTAGGGCGCGGGTTCGATCCTGGCCCTGGCAAGTACCAATGTGTCTTTTTCCGAATCATATGTACCTACTTTCTAAGAGTATTTAGACATCACTGATTAATGCATTCCCAAAGAGGGTTGATGTCAGGCAGGCGGCCGGTCGTAAAAACAATTAGCCAAAACTATTCACAACATGTAAGGCAGACCCTGGCTAAATCTGGGAAATTGCCAGGTAGAAGAAGAAGAAACCTATGTTACAGCTTTTCATTTTAAATAATGACTGCAACCCATCTATTAGGCTGATCTGTGAGTCTTAGCCATCTGAATCTTCTCACAACTGCACATAGAAAACTACATTCAAATCGGTCCAGCCGTTTTGGAAGCGTTCAGTTACATACATACATACTATAGAACTATATATAAACGTTTTTATTTGTCTCTTATATATTTAAGAATAACTTACGATCTAGCCTCATGATCGAGGAATGAAAGATAAATTTTATATCTTTTTTTATGAAAGAATGGTAAAGATAAAAGATATAAGATAAAAGATATACAACGCGGTAAGTTGGAGGTATGCGCTGTTAGAACTGGTTATATTTCTACTAATATATCTTAGTTTTTTTAACATATATGTGCATCAGATATTAAATGAATGAAATGGCAAGTACTCGTGTCTACACTAGCTACCGCCCGCGGCGGTACTTATATTGATACAACAAAATATGGTAATGTTATATTGAATGCGATGCCAATCATTCAAAATAAATATATTTATATAGGTACATATATTAAATCTAGTTTTGATATGTTCAATATTTTTTTTTGATACGTATTTTTTTTACATTTATATACTGAGTTTCATTATAAAGAAACAAAAACAAAAAAATGTTTGAAAATAAATTATTAAGGGTGAATAACCCTTATGACTTAGGTGTGTGAAAAATAGATTCTGATTCTCAGACCTACTCAATATGCTCACAAAATTTTATGAGAATCGGTCAAGCAATTTTTTACAATTTTACATATATATATAAAAACCCTTCAGAATCCGTGCCTGTTATTAAAGTTAAAAACACTGTTTGCATTTTGAGTATACTTTTAGGTCAGTTGCATGTGTGTGTGTTTGTACATGTACATGTGTGTGTGTGTGTGTGTGATAACTTACTATAGTTTTCTCTAACAGTCTCGTATAATAACTATTTCAACTAAACTACTTAATCAAATTATAACCTTAGTACAGGTAATAGGTTCAATAAATACTTTCAGTATGACGTATCGTACTATTCTTTCGTTTCCTGATGA